AAAGAATCGTCGAAATCGAAGAGTTATAAATAATTGAAAATTCATAATCTATAACTAATAATAATTATTAATAGAATGTAAAATATCAATTAAAACATTGGTGATATTATCATAATAATATGTGCATTACGTTTATTAAAATTGGCTCGCACTTGTATATTTGTTAAGAAATAAAAAAAACGAAAAAAAAAAATATATTAATTGTATGAAATTCCAAATATACTTAAGTATACTTTAAGTATAAATATTTGCCTTTTTTTTTTTTATTATGTATAATTATAATTGTATTTGTATGAATTTTAGCCAATTAATTTAAACGAAGTATATGCAATTATTCAACAACCTATAGACAATATTCGTAAAGTTATTCAAAATAAGAATGTTTCTTTCATTTTTTCGGTTACAATATTTTTAATAATATATTTTTTTCTCTATTTTGAGAAGTGTTATTATAAAAAACTATTAAATACATTGTATTACAATTTCTCCATTATTTTATAATAACTTAATTACTTTACAAGTAAATATATGTATAAATTATACTGATAATATAACTAATTAGTACAATTTTATAATGGCAAATTCGGAATATTGATTTCCTTTAAATACCCATTAAGTATTGGATGTGCACACATCTTGAGTGTATCGTATCATACCGACACTACTAACTACATCATGTTTTCTGTTTTGTCCAGATTCTCATTTTTCCATTAGGTTTTTCTGCGTTACATGCATTATACATGCGCGTGTGAATGCATACGTATTTATGCATGAAGCTACATATATTTGCGCACGTAAAATAAATCTGAAGCTATTGATTTTTCTTATCAATAAATTCTCTTCATTATACATTGTCCATTAATTTATAACTGATTATTAACCTGGCATTTATATGAATAACGTTATAGAAAATGTTAGAATATTCGTAAAACAACTTTCTTTTAAAACTGCGTGTTAAACCAAATCGAAATATTAGTCGAAAAATCGTATTTGCCAGTACCATAAAAAATATTACAATACTTTTGAAATTGACAATAAATAATGAAATAATTATTAAAAATATAATAAAATTTTGCTATTCCAATATTGTTCCATGTGTCAAATGATTGTATATAAAATTTATATATTTAGAAAAGATTGAATAAAATAACTAATTAGTTATACATTACTTGGTTAATATTTTTTCAATAAACAATTATTTTTATCTGTCTGAAGTATGATTGTGTAAGTCAATAGGGCATGTAAAATAAACAAACTTATTAAATCGTTCGCGGTCGAACATTATTTTGTGTAATACAAAATTCTTCAGTCGTTTGTAAAATATGAAAGAATAATGATGGCAAAGAGAGAAAATAAAATTTGAAAAAAATTATTTATTTAGAAATTATTTATAACTTTACTAGATAGAAATTCATATGTCATATATCATATCATTTGTGCTTAAAGTTTCACATATAATTATTTGTAAATAACAAATTCTATACTTCTTCATTATTGAATTCAAAAAAAAATTCCAATGATATAATAATAATATATCATTATTTGTTTTAAACAAATAATATGCTTATCCTATGTAGAACAAATCATTGCCAAAGTAATTGCTATAATGTATTAAATAAAAAAAGAAAAAACTTATGGGCTACTAATAAATAATTACTATTTACACATATTAATTAACAAACGAAATTTTGCTAGAATATGATAGAATTATTTCAATAAATGTATTACAATAAATATAAAGAAAAATGGAAAGGCATTTGTAAATCCTTTACGTATATTAAAAAATGCGTATATTTTTTTAATTTTATTAGTCCGATACATTGTTTATTTTTAACGCGTAATGTATGTTTTAATTCGTCATTGAAGTCATAATTATTATTATACTCCTTTATACATGTTATGAATGAAGTTAAATTTTTTAAAGCTACACTCTATTAATTTAATACATCATACGGATGCCGACTGCGTTCCGCTTATATACCGAAATACAATAAGAAGAATAACGAGCCAAGTTGAATAACAATATGCAATCTATAACTCCACGTTGCTGTGCAAGAATTTTAATATATATTACTTATAGTTGCAAGGATGTATGTGTAATTATGACAATATATACTTAATACTCATAACAAAGCGCGGTATAAGTTGATTGAGATTTTAACATTAATTATGGCTAATTCATAATGTATACGCTTAAATATATATATATATAGAAATCTATACAAATATAAAGTGTACACGTACGTTAGACGTAGTAATATAACTAGGAAAAACTATTAAAAAATACGGATAATCAAGTCAAATACTTAAGTACGGTAAGGTCGCGGGTATAATTAAAAACTCCACATTATGACTAAAATATGTTCTTTATGTTTATGGCTGACATTTATTCTGTGGAAATAATATCAGAAATCGAATATATAAATACTGGAATTTAAATGCAACCTCTAACAGAAGAGATTGATGAAATATTAATATTATTAAATGTTACGTGTAATATTAATTTAGATAAACGTTTACTTTATAAATATTTATTTTATACATTATATTATAAGATATGGAAATACTGCAAAAAAAGAAAAAAGAAACAAATATTTATATTTATATGAACATAATGAAATGGACGAAACAATTATTTGATACAGTGATTTGTATAAATAATTCATTGAGAATAGAAAAATATTTTATAAGTTTAGAAAATTTAACCATATAATCCCTATGATCAAAACAATGTATTCCGTGTCCGTAAATCACAAAGATATTAACATATTTACATCGAGTAAGAATTTGATTTTCACAGTATCAAAATTGGATAAGAAATTCGTTAAAAACATTATCGAATTACGATGAAAGCTATATTTTCTATTTTAATCATAAAATAAAGGATGTCTTCGCGGTGACATTATGATTTACTAATTATGAAAGTTTTCTTTTAGTAAAACACAATCACGATCTAAAACATTATTTATGAAAAATATGATTCTAAAAACTAAACAATATTTATCACAATAGACTAGTGAAATGAAAAGTTCACGGATAAACTTTACGTTACAAATTTCAATTACAAGAGTTGATTTGATTCAGCTATCTCGATATAATCTTTATAAACTACATTATTAATATATTATAAGAATCTACGAATTTATAACAAAAAAAAAAGTTATTAAAAGTTGTAATTTTAAATGTTGTAACAAAATTGTTAATTTCTTATCCTATTTCAATCGAATACTATAAATTTTTCAATTAAAAAATATTGAATTATCCTTTTTTGCAGCTGAAATGCTTTTGATACATAAAATAATTTTAATATTACCGTGTACAATGTAAATTTTAATTTTACCGAAATATCTAAAATTCGATCTAAAATATCGATTCTTACTTGAAAAAAAATTGTATTTAAATTTTATCAAGAATCGTATAAAATAATTATTAATTCGAATGTGAAATGTCAATAAAAATCTTTCATCAATTTGCTTCTAATTTAATTTTTACAAATAAAATTTGGCAAAAATAAATTATCATGTAAGACATTGTGTTTGAAAAAAATAATTAATAAGCTATCGTGTGAACGATTAAATATTAGTAGTTAAATTTCAAAGTAACGAGCATTACAAAGACCGTTTTAATCGTTAAATGTTCAGTTCACTTATACTACAATCATGTGACGTTATCTTTACGTGAATAATACACGAATGGAATTAAATGATATATTTAGATAGTCATACTACACTTAATATGTATAGTTTTAAAAATCTATTTTTATTTAGCAAAGACATTTTTTTTTTTTTTTAATTTTTTTGTTTATTATTATTATTATTAATATTGTTATTTATTAACAATACAATGGAGCAACTAAAACTATGATTTAATCTTAAAAATTAATTTGTATTTACTTATACTTACAATCAAAATAATATTAATTGGTAAAAAATTATGTGAATAAGAAATATCATTTTTAATCGAACGATAGAAGCAACCGATCAATTATCTTAAGTAATTTCAACAGATTATAAATATTACAATTGTCAGCTATTACAGCACTAATTAAATTTAATATTACAGAGATGTTTATTTTTTAAGTAGCGTAATTATAAAAAATTATTAAAATTATAATTCATAATTATTTCAAAGGGATCAGGCGTAAGGAAATCAATAACGCGATGTCAATTTTTATGCAAAATAGCACATATATTAATCAAATATACAATTAATTCGGATATTAAATGGTATTTTATATATTTTAGTATTTATTGTTAAATTCATTACATAATTTATTGTTATAGTATAGAAAATTACATGTATTTACTTCGACTTCAAAAAAGGAAGCACTTGATTTAATCTTATTAATTCAGAATATATCAGAATATATCCGTAAAGATGTTTATAGATTATCTCTTAGCAATCCTAATCGAGTAAGCCTAATATAAAAATATATTTAAGAATTTGAAAAATCAATTGTACACGAGTGTTGCATTCACTTACAAATATATAATATGTAAAGTTATTGTCATAACATTTCGCATCAGAAAATAATAAATAATTACTGTTAAGTTTTAATAAAATAATAATTAAAAAATGAAGACATAGAGGAATTAATTTATAATACAACACACTTAAACTTATTATTAGTAAATGCAGCGTTTCATTTCGATAACATTTACTATTATTTTTAATAATATTTTATTCTCAAAAATAATCTTCTAAGACAATTGTTATAAAATATATTATGCATTAGATAAGTTTTAAATCGAATCGCGTTTTATGAAATATTACCAGACATTTCAATTGTATAATATTATGAATCGTAACAACAGTGTGACAACCTACCATGTTATTAAACTAATGAATAGTTTAAGAATATATTTGACTTTAAAATTGCCCAAAATGTAATTCACAAATGTTAGTATATTCTTTAAAGAGTTATTTTACAAAAATATCTCTATTAAAAGCGACTGTATAAGACGTATAATTAATATAGCGTAAAAATTTTCAAGAAAAAAAAAAATAAAAATATTAATCGTTTAATATTTTCGAAAACTTATAAGTTTATCGTTAAACTTTCATTGGATAGTGGACATTTGTGATATTCTTTTTGCCGAAGTAACATTGCTGCTGTTACTCCATGGCTCGCAAATGGCCTTAATTAGCACGTAGCACAGCCAAGCAAAGAATAACATGCCAATAAATGCAGTCGTCCCATAACTAAAATAAGAATAAAAATATGCATTAAAATTTAAAAACTATAAAGTAACTGTAAAAAAATTAAAAAAAAAAAAAACTATAAAAAATTATTGAAACAAAAAAAAAACAAAAAAAAACGCAAAATAAAAATAACTAAAACTCACCCTATAAGCCAAAAAATGAACATTCCCAAAATTAATCCTGACATAAAGTTATAGTTAGCTGCTGGACGAAGACTGATGTGTGGAGGAAGTCGTTTTTCATAACCAGAAGAAAAACCATTTGACGTTCGTTTAGGCAACTGCACAACCGTTGTCGGAGGTTTCAAAATCTGCCGCGTGATTCTCCCCAAAAAGTCTTCTCTAGTATACGCTCCCACCAATTCATGTTGATACTTTATTTATTTTATTATTATTATTATTTTATTATTATTATTATTTTTTTTTAAATAATACAATTAATATAATAAATATTTAATATTGCAATAAAAGATAAATGGCAAAGTAAGGCATTGAGTTAATTTCGATAAGATATCATTTGTATTGAACGAATATAAGCTCGGATTAAAGTGTTGATAAAGTTTAATTGTAAAGATGCCAAAAATTATGAATAATAATGTTATTTGAGGATATTTGCGGCTTTATTAGCTACGACTTACCTTGGTATTGAAGTGATTACATAATTGATAAAAGAATCTGACTAGAAAAGCACTTTCATAGCTACGAACTGGTTGCAGTTCCGGATCTCCCATGTATTCGATGTATCGGCAATTTTGTCGTCCTTCCTGAATCGGAACAAAAACTCCTGGTCTGCTCGAATCTAAGCTCGAATCCATCTTTATGAAATAAAATTTATAATTTTTAAAAATTTACTTCAAGCCTATAAAAATTCTTCAAGTAATATTATAAAATTTATGTTTTAAAAGTTACTGTAACATAAAGCACCGATTATTTATAAGAAGCCCGTAAAGCATTCTGCTTTTTCATTTAACTGATATTGATTTCCTTTATTATGTAAATTTCTTAATTATTTGCAAATTATTTAATCAAAACACACTCGACGATTCAACATACGGACTGCGTAACATACGAGTCTTTATATTCAATTAATATTTATATTCAATATAAGTAATAATAATAATCACATATGTCAATCATCAAATAATCCAACTCCTAAAGTAGATGATACATTACCTGTGAATACCAGTACGAGCAGACGGCGATAATCGACTGCACAATTGATCGCGAGGACGATTTTTTCTTCATCCTCACGGACTTAACTCGTGTTTTATAAATCTTGCTACTCGCGCACCTTTTCTCGCGCTACGATCTGTACGAATTCAAAATGCCGCCAAATGAGAGGAGATAAGTATAAAGCCGCGTACTGGTGTAATTCTGGTGTAACGGATGTTGCTTTGGGGTGGGGTGGGGGATGGGGGAGATGGGAGGGAAGCTCTCATCTTACACCCGAGTCTGCAGAAACATGTTAATAGGCGCGAAGGCGGATAATCACAAGAATGCGCCCGAGATAAAGGTAACTCGCCTGAGCGTTAGCTGTGCGACAATGAAACCGGTGCTTCGTAACGTACGACTGTCGAATTGTCGCGATGCGAGAACTCTCTAACCAATTTCAATCGACAATATCAGCCTGCTTTCTTTAATGCGCTTAGGTACGAAGTACGTGCGGGCAGAAAAATGACGAAGATAACAACTGCCTTGTCTCGTTAGGCAGTCCTATTTATGTTGGCCTAGATGATCGTGAGAAGATAATTGAAGGTGCGGAGAGGGAGAGAAGGCAGGGCAATCATCGTACTATCATCAAATATCCTTCTTTGTCCGTACTTGGAAAACGAAGCTTAGGAAAAACCCAAATACGAGGAAAATACCGCAGCACGGGGTATTTATTTCGTATGAATGAACGTTGATGATAGGCATGATGGTCGATAATAAGCCTGTTAGCCCTAACTAAATGTCAAGGGATATAATTGAATTTGTATATACGCTCAGGTAATATCATTAGTCCGCCCATTTTTACAATAATAGTATGCCTACTGCATCGCAACATCAATTATTTTCTTTTGCAATTTTTTGCAACGATATTGGCCAACGAAAATATCGGACTAATTTATTTCGATAAATTGATTTGTAATTAAAGTTTGATTTACTTGTGATTGGTGACAAAATGACGTTGATAAAATGCTCTCGTGATACTCATGATCGGCTACTAGAGTAGACTGAGGGATCTCTTCTACGTTTACCTACAAATTAACATGCATAAATGGAGTCTTGATTTTACGTAGTTTTAAAATTTCCCAGAAATGTTATTGAGGGTTAGTACCTGGCCTACCTGGAAAATTTCGATCAATTGTTGCTGAGCATTTGCCAGAAATATTGGCACCCTCTTTCTCTCCTCTAAACTAATATCGTCGGATGAGGTATCATCACCATTAAAGAATTCCCAAATTGATATAAGGAATCGTCTACCTGTTCTTCTCTTTTCTAGGGCCTCGACTAAGCTCGTTGATGTTAAATGAGCTTGTTTTATTGTACTTAAAAAACAAATTACCTATAATATTGCAAATATTGTTGGATAAATGATGATGAGAATTAGGTGACATGATAATAAACAATATGTAAATATACTGCAATTAAACAAATAAACATTATGATAATTTTATACGTTAATTATGTAATTTAATTTTTTATTCGTTTACAAAATCGATAAATTAATGAGGCAATGAATCGACTCTGAAACTCGCTAGTTTTAATATTAAAGTTTTAAATAAACCATAATTCTTTAATTTGATATTGACTATTCATTATTTTAAATATTTTTCGTTATTAATATAAAAAAAGAAAAAAAAAATTGCAATATATGTAATAAATAGATATTTTTTATACGAATAGCAAATATTTAATAATATTACTTGTGATATAGTGGCTGGAGAAAACATGGGTATATATTGATAAGATTGTCCTTCTAATTCAAGAATTTGCTGACGAACTGTACCTGTCCATTGATTTGTCGAGCGATTTCGCATCGATGCCATATCATCTATACAATTTTCAACCTCCAATAAAATTTTCGCTAAATTAGGTTGAGAAAATACCTATAAAATATATATATTATATCAAGCCTTACAATCTTTGACAGAGTTACTCATATTAAGTATACCTTTGTTACTCTAAATAACATATGAGCATTTTTTGGCGCTATAAGATCTGTTCTCATAAACCGTGGTAATAGTTGCTGAAATATTGCAGTGTAAGCTAATAAATTATTGGCAATAAATGATATCCACTTATTTGGATCATGGATTTTTCCTCTTTCTTCGTCTTCAAATTTTCTAAAATAACATACACAAATTTATCTCCCCCCGATCTCCAAAAGCTAAAGTCTTAACGATATAAAAAATATAAAACCATTACTTTGTATATCCAATTCCTTGAATATATCTCCAAGGCTGAATAAAACTTAACCAAGCTTCTAAAATTAATCTAAAAGAACTATCGAGCGGCCAATGATGAATGGCCTTTCTCAAGAAAGTATAAATTTTTCCTTGTACCGATGGAAGAATTACTCTTAAAAAGAGGAATTAATTTTAGGATGCATTTTAATATTAAATAAATAATTATTTTTTTATACATATAAAATACATTGATTATTAATATACCTTTTCAGTTCGTTCATGGCACTTTTATCACCGATGGCACTATTTGCAAATTCATGTAATGTTTTAATAAATGTCCTAACGAGTCTAATATGTTCTCCAGAATGTATACTATGCTGCAATAATTAATTTAATATTGTTATATTTCTTGCTTCTAGTCGCTCATTTTATTCGCATTAAATCTCCACTATGTACTTTTAATAAAAATGAAGAAAATAAAATATAAACTTACTCTTCGTGGTAAAGACCCAGTTGCTTGTGGAGTTCTATTTGAAGAAAATTGCTCCTCTTCTGTATATTCTAACCAGAAATCAAGGAAAACCTGTACAATAGTCTCACTTCGCCAAACCTGTGGCAAACATTGTTGCTGCGGTACTGTAGAATTAGGACTTGTAGAATGAGGAGACAGTATGGTTGTCCTCAAGAGACGCGAAGTTTGTAACCTGCGAATAATTAAAATCATTCCAAATATAAAAGATAAAATCATTGAATAATAATTAAAATTAATATATTCTGTAGTTCACCTTTTTGTATCTGTCGATTGCATTAATTTTCTAGGAGGAGTTTTTTTGACATACGGTCCAATAATAGGTAATACTGCTGAATTATCTCTTGGTAAAAAGTGAAAAAGATAACAGTTAGCTAATTCAACATATACCGTCTCCCAATTAACCCAAACATTATCTTGTTGTTGAATTTGCAACCACGGGTTTGTCAAATGATAAGCAAAATGAAATATGTAATACTCGAAAGGATTTGCAACGTATTAAGGAAAATCGTATTTCAATCATAGTTGGTAAAGTGTTAAATTAAATATAAAAACAAAAATATTATACAAATATTTAAACAATTTTAACAATTTTTACTAAGCCTGTGAAAATCTGATTCACTCTGATATGGAAAATGATTTGAATATAATGTATTTTCTTTTATCATTGCCAAAATTATAGAAGAAAATTATATTGCTCAGGCGTGCGTAACAAGCTTTGCAGAAAAATAGTAGGCGTATAATTCAACGCACATAAAATGTATGTATTTCTTTTAACAAAAACTTTACAAAACTAATCTCTCAATATTAATAGTAAAATATTTTTGTTTATAATTTCGATATTAATTAAATTCTAATATATATATATATATATATATATATATATATATATATATATATATATATATATATATATATAATATAAAAAGGATACTCATGGATAAAACCGTTGAAAAACGACTACCATGATCGTCTCTCAGTTTATCAGAATAAAATGGAGGAATAATTCCTTCTTCTAGCATGTGTCGAATTTTAGACTGAAAATATTAAATACATATTTAAATCGTGGATAAAAACGACATAATATATTTTATAATACAAAATCGACGTACACTTACAGGCAGATATGACACTGGAAAGTTATATTTTAAATAGCAATCTGGAAGTAATTTATAACATAGAGAAAATATTGGACCCTGTGGACTTAAAAAATTACAAAGCACCTCATATTCTTGGGGATATTTTTTCAAACTTATAGTATGGAGACCCCAACCAATATTATCCGATATTCCAAATAAGGAATCTATAAGTACTGGAAAGATATGCTGCAATTCAGTTGTGCTTAATTCATCGATAAGCGTAGCAAGCTCTTTGCATCGCTGAACAAGTGGTAAAAGTAAATATGCTTGAACTCTTCCCTGCAGAAGAAAAAAAGGTTTCAATTAGTGATTATTATTATTATTATTATTATTATTATTAAATTTAATTTGAAAGTCATCGATTTTTTAGTCGGTTTGAAGAATTTTAAAATGTTTTATTTCATTTGATTGATAATGTAATAGTAAGTAGCCTCGATATCTTACGAAATTGCTTTAGAATTGAAACTCAAAAAATACTTCAAATAAATGAATTAATTACCGTTACAACATCTGCAGAGCTCGTCATTATTACTTTTTGTCATTTATACAGTTAAATTCACAAAAATAACAATAAATATTAACGAATCTGCGGATAACCTCAATCGTGTTTATAACTACATCATCGACTGCGAAAAGATAACCTACAGTTAGAATTTCGCAATTTACGAAAGTGCAATTATTGCAATGTACCGATCAGATTTTGCTGCAATAGAGTTGATAATAAGCAAAAGATGAAGTTTTATTCTTATCAAAAAATATTATCAACGTTATATAAGCATTTAAAGTATTTTATGTATTATTAATCTTTTATTAATTGAGAGTTTTTATTAATTTTACACACTCGTACTATTTCAGTTTTATTATGCATTATAATCCTTACATCTAAAATTACTTTATTCAAGTAAATATTATCGCTAATATATTTATTAAAGTACATTTCTTTTTCTAAATAAAAAGAAATGAGAAGATTTGTTTTATTTTTTTTTTAATTTTATTATTATTATTATTTTTTTTTTTTAACAAGAGCGTCAAATACAACGAGTAACGGACTGGTTCCTAATTGATAAAATAACCAATTGGAATAACTAACGAAATCCAATGAGGTTCAAAATGGCAACGCAAAAATACGATTGCTAAAACAATCCAGTGTACGTGTGCGCGCGTGTGTGTAATTTTTTTTTTTTTTTAGTACACATCTTAAAGCTTGCATATTTACCTACTTAGATTTAAAATGAAAAAAAAAAAAAAAAAAAAAACAAAAAAACAAAACAATACAAACAAACAAACAAAAGCTTGTTATCTCAATGACGATGGTATTTTTGTATTATTTTTTTCAACGTTTTTTTACATAATACCGACACTACCGACCATTTGGTACATCGATTTAAAAAAGCCTGTTTGTTAATTTTCTATGTCGTAAGGCCGCCGACGAAACAACCCCCTCGGCGGCAGAAACCCGGTAACGGGAGAATAGCGAATCGTAGACGTCAAAAAGTAAGACGAGAGCGAGCCTCGAGCGTCCCCTTACGAAGGAAGCTCAAAGTGGCAAAGGAAATGAAGATATTGGCAGTAGGAAGGAGGCGTGGAATTTGTCCAGTTTCAAAATCGTTTTATGTAAAACCGGCGTGCTTCGCTGCCTATGAATTTCAATTTATTAAAAAAAAGAAGAAACAATCATAATAATAAATAAATAAATAGACACAAGCAAGGGGAGCGACAAGTGTAATACGCACACAATTGCTTGGTCGTGACGTATCGTAATATCATAACTATTAAAAGTCACAGCGGTTAATGATTCGTACTCCTGCGCCACCAGCAGCGGAAAAGTCGTAGTAAAAAACAACAAGAGCCTCCGCGTCTCTTTAATTGCTCTTCGGTCGTCGTCCGCACAAAAATGGCCTCGGCTTGTAGGTTGGCGAAAATGGTAAGTACGACGTCCATCGTCGTCGTCGTCGTCGTCGTCGTCGTCGTCGTCGTCGTCGTCGTCGTCGTCGTCGTCGTCGTCGTCGTCGTCGTCGTCGTCGTCGTCGTCGTCGTCGTCGTCGTCGTCGTCGTCGTCGTCGTCGTCGTCGTCGTCGTCGTCGTCGTCGTCGTCGTCGTCGTCGTCGTCGTCGTCGTCGTCGTCGTGACAAAATTCCTCTTACCGCCTTAATAAATCCATCCCGAAGGGTAAATCGAAGGTACTCGGCTCGAATGCGGCATTCGCTCGCTCAACGCTGTCATCCTCCGGTCTATCAAAGTTTAACTCCATTTCCTTTGACCAGGCATCGAGACCCCTTTCTTTGTCCGTTCCTGTCCATTATTTTATTCAATTTAGTACATCATTAAGCTGCTATATGTAGCTGAGACAGTTTACTTGAGAAAAGAGAATCGACGACGCCGATCAAAGGCCGACGTAGATTTTCATCATTTTAATAGATCTTTTGCATTTCGTTTGACTATGGAGAGTGCCAATCCAAATTTTTACTTATCTTTCGATAATGCTTCATCTTTTTTCTTTTTTTTTTCCCTTCCCTCGCTATCTGGCTTTATACCGCAATGGCCACATTTTAGCCTTAAAAATCGTACTGGATTTAAAGTAAAAATTTGAGATTTGTTCTTAAACTGCTGGGTGACACGAGATATGATTCAATGCAAGTGATTTTAATGAAAAGACCCTTTAACATTTTTAATATCTACTACATTTAAAATTCTGCTTTTCAATTGACAAATTTCGCTAAATCATTGTTTATAATTTTATTTCCATTACCATTTTTCACTACTGAAAAATTCTCCCTCGCTATTATTATTATTATTATCATCATCATCATCATCATCATCATCATCATCATCATCATCATCATCATCATCATCATCATCATCATCATTATCATCATTATCATTATCATTATCATTATCATTATTGTTATTATTATGGCTAAATGAAATAAGAAGATTATTTAAAGAAAATGAGTATTAATTCTATTATTCTTTAATTTATTATCGTTGGTGTTATTATTATATTTTAATAATCTTTGTACCTGGTATGACATTATCTAAGAAGCATCCCGTAACACCTCCGACGAGAATTGTTGTGCTTAAAAGTACAGTAATCACTTCGTCCACCACCTCGCTTCCAGTATTTATAAAAGTAGAATTTTTACTCATCGATTTTGACAATACCTATTAATGTTATTCTTTTTAATTCATAGATTCTGTAATTTTCACATAGATATGGTAAATTCTTACCAAAGGAAAGAAAACGGAGAAGCCAAGAATGTATAGATTACGAGCAGAATTTAAATTTATGTACTGAAGAGCTGAAAAGCCTGTCAAAACATAAATAATTTATATTTCTTATTGGTATATAGAGTTTAATTATAAATATCGACAATAGTAGATGTTCTAATTCACCAAAAGCAGCAATTAATCCAAACATTACGCAAAATATTCCACCAACTATAGGTTCTGGAATAATAATGAAAATTGCTCCAAATTTACTGATTATTCCTTGAAGAATCATCAATACGCACGCCCACTGTATTACTCTACGACTTCCAACTTTAGTTACACCTAATACAATTACACACGTGTGACATGTTATTATTAAGATTTTATTATTATAATTTTTTATATTGATTTGAAAAATAGTATACCAATAGTTCCCACATTCTCTCCAAAAGTATTGGTGCCATTCCCACTTCCCCAAAGCCCAGCTAATACTGTTCCGAGTCCTTCGGTACCAATTCCACGATTAATAGCATGAAGCGGCGGCGGTGGTGCACCTATAATAATAAATCTTAAATAAATGAATGTTAAGAAATTATTCTAAAGTTCATAAGATTCAAACTGTTAACCAATAATTAGAATTAATATTAAATTATATAGCCCAATAATTATTATACAGTAATTTATTAATCAATTGATTATTTCTCAATAGTTACCGCACATTCTTGAAGTTGTTGGATAATAACTGATGGACTCAACTGTACAAGCCAATACACCGGCAAGCATACCAAGCACTCCAGAAAGCGTTACAGTTGGTGTACCCCATTGTCCAGGATAAGGAATCCTAAACCAAGGCGAATCGCTAATAATTTTTAACTTGGAATCTGCTCTTCCTGGATGGCCTGGTGCTAACACATCCGTAAAAGTCAAGATGGCACAAATAATCCACATGACTACTATGGTAAGTAATACCTGTAAATGTATTATTATTTGCTATCAATAATCTACGGCATTCTTTATTTGTGACTCCTAAGAGTGTCATCATTTGGCTAATTTTTATTTTATCAAAGTTAATCGGTACTTGACTTACTGGAAAAAGTTTAAATAAAGCGAACCAAACAATTTTAAATCCTTGACCCTTTTTGTACACCGGTATTGGACAATTAATATTAACTAAAATTTGTGAGTAAAGGGTTAACATTATAATAGTTCTAAAATGAAAAGGAATTCATTAGAATGAATAACACAAGGGAATAATGTTTTTTATTTATATTTAAAAATGTACCCAGCCGCTATGCCCCAATGTTTTGAAGCAGCATCCGCCGCATTTTCAAACAATGATAGTCCAACCAATGAAACCGTCGGTACAATTGTTAAAGGAGTCACATATTTTAACATATATCCAATAATACCTAAAAACAAACGCTTATATAATTGATAGCATAACTAACTGTTTATATTTAAGAGAATACGATAAATAATCGACTAATAAGTAAAATTTGTTTAAAATAAAATTAATGCGTATTTACCACCATATCCAATAATAACTTGGAAAAGTGCAGAAACGGCAATCGCACCTGACAGTTCTCTCATACGCTCTTGCCACATTTCAGTCCTTTCCTCGTGTGATATTGTATTTAAAATTGAAGCTTCTGGACATTTCCATTGCGGTAAATTTAAAATTGCAAGTGTTGGCACTAAAAATGATATAGTACCACCCTGTACTAAAGGAAGCCTACAATACATTAATATAATATATATTGAACAATATACTACAATATAATCAATGATTAATAATCGAGATCATTTAATTCGACAAAATAGAAACAATAAATATTAACTAATTTGACTTTTTAATATTTATGCCTATTAATGAATAGTTCAATCATTAACATATTCATAATGTATCATAGATAATGAAATATTTCAACAAACAAACATATATATATAGGTGTATTAGAAAATAAAAAATCGTTAATTTATCTATTATAACTTCGGTCGTTCCCTCATTTACATCGTACTTGATAGAGAATTGATAATTTCATGCGTATCTTCTTGCCTCTTTTTCTCTTTATCTATTAATTCGTTTAATAATGTGCGACAACATTTCTAATATATATATATATATATATATATCACTCAAGAATATACAAAAATATACAAAAATATACAATGCCTATCGTTGTCTTAAAAAATAATTTCTCACGTTTTATATATTTCAAAAACTACTTTATATTTCTTAAATAATCAATACGAGGAATAAATAATACGTTCAATTTTATTACTTATATATATATATATATATATATATATATATATATATATATATATATATATATATATAAAGTAAGTTTTTTTGTATTTAACAAAATTTTTAAATTTACGATTTAAATATTTTTATTGCATCGACTATTTCTTTTAACTAAAAATGAATTACAGTGCAAAATGTATGTTCGTTATTTATAATAATATACAATTTAATCAAATATAACATTATTCAAGATCATTTACAAAAGTACTTTGATTTCTTAAATTATAATGCGAATAGATAAAGTTGTTAGTACAGTATTTATAATCTATACGTACGGATTATTCTATAGCTTAAAATTTATATAATGATCATAATAATTTTTAGTATCTTTTAAAAAAATTTTCGAATTAAAAAATGAATTCTTTATAAGTTAAAAAAATAACAAACAAAAGAAAAAAAAGGAATAAGCAAATGATAAATACATTATAAATAACAAAGTTATTAATCAAAATTAATTTTATAATTATTCTACTCTCCCTAATAAATATACGCTTTTTCTTAATACATTGTTTATATTTATGTTTAATATATCAATTATACTAGTAAGCAAAATTTGTGTTGTATATATTAAATATTTGTTTGTAATGCAACACATCATATATTAATGTATTTTTGTAACGATATTTTGGTGATAAAATATACTTTCATAGAGTTTTGATTAAAAACTGTAATTTTCCTCGATAAACTATTGCATTTGAAATGTGAAATTTTCAGTGAATCTTGTTATGGTGAATGAAAGTGCATGATTTCTCAATATAATTAATTTCGATCAACAGATTAAACAGTTTGGAATGTATTTAATGATCAACTTTCATTTTAATGAAATGCCAGAACAATGAGAATGCATTAATTTTTAATTATATCGTAAACGGTAAATGTTATATTCTTCTAACAGGCCTAGTGCTCTTATAACGATAATTCTCTAAAGTAAATAAATTGAAAATATTAAAGACATTAATTGAATAACAGTGAAACAATAATACGTTAGGATTTTTTTTTTTTTTTTATTTATTACGAGTTACTAATTTGCTCAATATATAATCTATTACGGAATATTGTTTTAAACAATAATTAATAGTACGGTAACTGATCAAACAAGAGATAAATGTTAATGATTTTGAGCTTTACTTTATCTGCAAATTCGATTATAATATTTATGTATCAAAAAAAATTTCATTGCAAATTAATAGTAATTCGTTAGAAAGAAATTTCAACTCAAAAGGTTCAATTCGTAAGTAACAGTATTAAAGTATATTTTATTGGCTATAATTTACATAGCTATTTTCATAAAAAAAAATAACTATCCATCATTGCATTATTTATTTGCTACCGGTGCTTTTAATATCGTACCGACAAGCTATGAATTTCAACAAAACTAATATTTTTTAATAACCTATTTGCTCATCAAAAGACGAACAAATGTGTGCTTAACGTCGCGAAATATAAATTCATATCGAATAAGATTCTAATCTCTCCATAAAGTCATAAAGTATATAAATAAAGACGTGAACCTATGATAAAAAAAAAAACGTAACGCTCCTTACCTACAGCCTATGGTAGTCTGTAAAAAGGTAACGATGCCCGTGACAAAGATCATTGTTGAAATTATATGGCTGCGTGCGGGATCGTCCTCAGCCATGCAAAGGGCTGGTGTCAAGATGAAAGGTATCGACACTATGGCACCTATCATCGTTAGGTAATGCTACAAATATTGAACTTTTATTGTTGTTGATATATCATTCCTTACTCTTAAAGTCCATTTAGAAATTAATCTTACGATAATTATTTCTGATAGGATCGATCGAGTGACATAATTTAATTTTCGCGTTGTTGGTTAAAGAAATGTTTTTTTTTTTTTTTTTTTTTTGCAAATTTTATAATTTTTAGGGTTAATTCTAACACAATTGTAGATATTTCACGACGTAGATAATAATTAATTAATATTTTAATAAAAAAAAAAAAAAAAAAAACTTTTCAATATTGCTGTATCAAGGGCTCGATAAAGAATATCTAAGAATCTCAGTAATAATAAAATTATGAAACATAATTGAAATCATCGAGGTACAAAGTTACTTTTTTTTTTTTATTTAACTTTACGTAATATTAGTTCATTTTTTAAGTTTTTCATTTATTCATATCGTATCAAGTTACATGTGTACCTGTAATGCCATGAATAAACATAGATACCATGGAGGTATGTCGTCAATTCCGTAAGTGATGTCTGCATTCCGAGTTTGTGGGTTTTCCGAATTCTTAGTATTGTTTGCTGAATTTTCTAACACGTTCTGAAATAATATTTTATCTTTATTTTTATTATTACTAATAATATAAATCTGTTAAAAAAAAAAAAAAAAAAAAAAAAAAAGAATTTCACTTTACTCGTGACGTTTTATTACGTGAGCCGAAATAAAAATTAAGATATTTTGAGGAATAATGTAAAACTATGTTACTTGGTATAGAACTTTGCAAATGCCATTTTCGTAACTTAGTATTACAGGCTGTAATTTTGAGTAATGAATTTACGAATATCTAATGAAGAAATAAACATGTATATTGAAATTAAATTACATGTGAAATTAATAAACTTTAATTGAAATCTTTTTTATTCTACTAAAAATATTAATCATACGATTATCAATGATAAACAGTTTGATCCTAATTAAAATAAACAGTCTTAATAATATATAGAATTATGTATTTTGTTTCTTTATTTATTAATTATGTATAATTTAGTCTAGTTGTCGAGAGCTATACCGTTCATTGAACAAATATAATATTTAAAAACACGAATAAAAAAATCGGAAAAGATTTTGTTTGTACTGTCGTATGAATAATTTTCCATGATAAAGTATGAATACAATTACATGTTATACAGATTTCTGGGTACTAATAGTTCGATGAAACGCTTCTTAAGTTATATGGTTCAAATATTAAACCATAAAATTTTATTGCATGATTTCATTATATATAGAAATATATTCAAATTATATATATTAAATAACGATAAATTACGCTCAAAATAATTATTTAGCATGGTATGTTTTTCTATGGCATCTCGTTTGTATGGAATTTATCGAAATTACAGATGTCAGAAAGCTAATAAATAACTAATTAAACATTTTTATAATTTTGTTTCTACTAAATTTTTTTTTTTTTTTTTTTTTTTGTCATAACTCTTACACATTCAATTATTTGCTCCTTTAAATATTAAATAATGAGAAGAAATTTGAATAAACTTACTCTAAAGTAAAATATTTTGAAAATTACGTACTGTAAAATTAACAACTATGATATAAAAAAAATTTAAAAATCATCCTTTTCCAATTAAATATTTGAAGACTCTTATCATCATTTTTATGTTCATATTTGTAAATGGAATTCATTATTATGGCAAACCATGAAAGTTGCAATGCTTTGAAACTAAAAATATATAGTGGTCGTTTAAAAATTTTTAAGCTAATACAAGTGACCAATTATAATGGAAGTACATGTCAGTAACTTTGTTAACATTTACTCAAAAATATTGAACAAGATGCTGAGAACATCTAAAAACATATTTTACAAAATTATTAAACCGCTACATATTATTGTAATTCAAACCATTAATGGGTAAAAATGAAAATTTTTTATTATTGTAATGAGAGTGTACATTAACTTACCACGTTTGTGAGCTGGATAGAGTTATTTTCAGTCATGTCATGTAATTTAAAGTTACAAAAATATAAATAATCACAGAACGTATATTGGTAAAGGAAATAAAAGTTTAGCGTTATAAATATCGTAGTCAATAAGATTTTTATAATTAAACGAAATAACGGATAGTATTATTATTACTTTAAGTATATTAAAAAACGAGCGCTCGTTGCCTTCAACTTATTTGAAATATAATTTCTATACAACGCGAATGCGACGATTGCAAAAGTTAAGTACACGAGTATTTGCTATTCATGATCTTTAAAAAATTACGTGCGTATTTATGTATAATAATACTGTATATAAGCGAGTACAGATGATAAATCCGTGCACGATAATTACGACTGTTAGCGATCACGAGAATAATATATTTGAAGCGTCGACGTACCTCGATGTAAATTTTCAAGCGTAATTTTATCATGTCGCCATCTACTTTTGACTAAAGCTCGTTCTCACAAGCTTTCTCTCTCCTTTATCTATTGTTTTCTCTTATTATCTCTCTTACAAATTGACTTCATCAACGCTGAATGTCGTTACAATATTTACTTATTCTTTTATTGCTTCGCTCATCATACCCGAAAAATAAAAAAAAAACAATTAAAACGATTAATATACGTGTACTGATAATAGACGATTATGGGTACGTAGATACTTGTATTTGTTAGGTGAATAAGTTTAAAAATAAAACATTGCTTTAAATTTTTTTTAATTATTTCTGTAGTGAAACAAGCTAAAATAATCTCACTATTTTTCTTTCTTTGGTAAATGTATCATTTGGTTGTAAGGTATCGATATCGATGGAAATTTGTCAATTTCAAATCATAAAATGACTAATGATCGATAATAATAAACTTTAATATACCTTTACTAGTGCTTTAAATCTTCTAAACGAAACAAAAAATGTACATGAACAAACAAATAAATATATAAGATAAAAATATAAGATTCGTGAATTTTTTTTTGTTTTTTTTTCTCAATTATAACGTAAATTTTATTTTTGCATTATTTACATTTATTCTGAGAAAGGACTTAATGAAAATAGAATAAGATCTCATAAACTTTATTGTTTAATATACAAATCATAATCATACTGTTGGAATTAAATGTTTATGCAGATAATTTTTTGTATTTACATTGCACCCACACTCTGTACATTTGCAATTGTCTGCCTCGATTCACTTGTAATCTTCTATCAATAAGATTTTGTATTTCGGTAAATCCACAGTTAGTAAACAAGTCTTTTAAGTCATCTATCATTAATTAAAAATTCTATTAGAATCTTAAAAAATACAGAAAAAGATTTCTAAATCATCTACTACCTTGTGTGAAGAAGTAGACACGTGTTCCATCACCTCTCGCATAAAAATTCTTAGCTAGACAGTGACCTTTTTTAAACCTTAGTTGGGCCAAATCATACCGCCCATAGTCTCGAAATAAAACTAAGCCTCCCGGTTTTAAATACCTATAAATTTGCTTAACAACGTGTTGCATTCTATAAATTAAAAGAATATATTATAAACATTTAAATGGATATACTTAAATAACAATGCTTTTAAAATAATGTTTATACTTGTCGGGATGAATTGCAGAAAGAACAAATATTAGAATTATGATATCCAAACTATTTTCCTTAAATGGTGGATTCCAATCATCTTGAGTTACGTCAAGCACATATGCTTTACACCTACGGAGAATTATTCTTTTGTTAAGACGCTCGGTGATTAAAATTAAATATTTCTATATAAAATTGAATTATAAAATATAGTTTTATACCTTCTCGTATCATATTCTTTACTCTGTTGTAAAATTTTAATAGCTGTCGATGAAAAATCACAGCAGTATACAAATAAATCTGGATTATTGTTATATAGTAGTATCGGAAATACTGTATTTCCTACACCACAACCTATTTCTAAAATTCTTTGACTAGAATGAGACGCGTTATCTTCAGAATTACTTTCTTTCTCAGTAATTTGCAATTCTGCCAGCGCCCTCAAAGGACGTTCTATGTCTTTCCTAACGTCATTCGGTGCTAATTCAGGAAACTCGGTAAATAACCAATGCCTGTCTTTGAAAAATCTTAAATTGAAAAATGTCTTGTTAATTCAATACTTACGATATGTTATTTGTTCAAAGAATTTGTCTACTAACCTATTTTGATGAATCCCGTAAAATTTATCCCAATATTTATCTGCCTCTATTTCAAATTCAGCAATCTTTTCAGTCGATGTAAGAACTAACGAATTCTCTGCAACTTTTTGTCGAGCTCTTTCTTCTTGTTCCTTATCCCAAATAACATTATCCCTATAAATGAAATCGTTATGTAACAAATGCTTTAAGACTTAATTTAATAAGTCAAACAAAGAAATAATAAGAAATTAAACTGATACCAATATGGCTATTTATCTAAGCCTTTGATTATAATAATTCTATCCAAACTACTTTATTCAAGCATAAATCACAAAAGTGTACATAATTTTAATTGATGGATATCAAAATTGACACCTAAACTATTTGTGAAAATTATAAAAGAAAATTTTAAGAATAAATTTTTTAAATGTTTACCCAATGTATGCCAATAATATAAATATTAAACTTTGCATAGATTTGTCAAACGGATTGATTGATTTGTAATTTTTTAATTTGTAATTTCTAGATAAATTTACCTTATCTAATTGCTACTATGCTAATAATAATAATAATAAGCCATACAAACTTACAATGAATATTTTTAAATAAACCAAATCAAACGGTTTTCAATAGCATACATGTTTCATTTCATTGCATGTTATGCATAATTCAATTTCATCCGTATTATTTTCACATCACCTATTCCTACAATAATCATAATTATGCTGATTTAGTATCAATCGCATAATATTCGGAAATTTTAATTTAATATCTTAAAAAACGTGCAATAAATTGATTGCTTAAAATAATGAAATCAGTGTATCAGTTTGACATAATTTGAGGTTAGGATGCCGAATCTACTGCTTCGAATGAAACAAAGACGAAAGTAACAAATAGTACCAAGCATTGTGACGAAAAACGTCGTTCGCGTTATCCAGAGTTCGGTTCCCAAATTGAGGCCTCTTATTCGCCAACTTTGTATCAACACCAAGTTCCGTGGATTCGGCCATGTCGGTCGAAGCGCAACTCTGCACGACGAGCGCGACGACACAACTGTAGCCTACGTAGTACACACCTTTACGTAGTTTGCATGTGTGATCATATCATTACATGACTATGGAAACGCACATGTTCTGCCCTACTGACAATAGGCCCATCTTCGAACATTACTGCGAACTCATATAAACTCATTGTGTGCATTTGTGAAAATTCGCGTGTCACCATCGCAGCTATTAAGCCGTATTAAAAAATATAAAAAAATTTCTATTAAATAAATATTTTAGATTCTTTTTCCTCTTCTTTTTTCATCCTTTTAATTATATTTATCACGTATGCGCTTATTAAAATAGATATTTTAGTCTCCTATTGTGTCTAAAATAATAAGAAAAATTTATGGAGATCTAATTTTTTAAATACCTACTCGGTGCTTAGCTTAGTTTATACGCATATGGTGAATGTCTTACTATTGGCATGACAAGTATAAATACATTTCACACCTGCGTACTAATCATAAGATGTTAGTAAAAATATTAGCATTTTCTGTTATTTAGATAAATTAGATAAAAGATAAGAAATCTATCGATATTTCAAAATTAATCTTAAACATCTTCTTTACACTAATATGTCATGCGTTAATTATATTATTAAATATTAAAGGATATTAAATAATGTAAATGTGTAATAATACGCGATACAGATTGAAAAGTTAAATTACTGACTTTTAACGATAAAAACCATTAAATTACTCTTTGACGCATTGTACATCGGTATATTATAATGGTTTAGAAAGGGTAGATTTTGCTTAATTCTCTCTCTCTCTCTCTCTCTCTCTCTCTCTCTTTTCTTATATATATATACCTTTTCGTTTATAGCCGTTTGAACAGAATTCGACTAAATACCAATTGCCACTAAAACATTTTAAATTATGGAAAATAAAATGATAAATGTCTATATGAAAGTACGAAATAAACACATATCATTTCACTGACAATGTTGACGTCTGTTTTTTCATTAAATACGTATCGCAGATAACATACAGGCAGTTTAACCGACTCCTAGAACTTTCTCACGTATTGCACTTTAGAGTCGGCCGCTGATTCGGTTGCTCGTAGAAAGGCGGACGAAAGTCACTGAAAGGGGATTTCCGGCGGTAATTTCCAGGTCCATCCAGATTGAAGCTCATCCCGCACGTATACACGCCGCTCGGCAGATGTATATACACAGGCCAACTGTCGATGCCTCATTCGCATAGTTGGCTTTAATAAAGTTGGCAATGTGATAGAACCACTTCAGTTTATCGTGGATTAGCAGCATTTATCGCTATATGCTTTCTAAGGCCACTTGCGCCTGATATTCGTTTATTGATGTTTCACTTTGTACCGTTTTACACCGCTCAATAACATACGAGTCTTATTTATAAATTTGTTTTACGCAGAATTTCTTCTTATTTTATAAACAATCGAGCAATTTTACTCCTAAATATTGCTAGTTTTTTTTCTTCTCCGTGAATAAATAAGCTTATTGATAATTATCATCAAAGTATCATCAAATACGTACGTATTAGTATAATTCATTTTTATTTATTTTGTACGGCAATTTGATTATCTTTATTATAATAATCTAAATGTAAATTAAATATAATAAATATCTTAAAGTTTCTTCGGTTATTTATTAATTTGTTTTGATTTTTCCATTATCTAAGTGGCCTAGTATGTTATTATCTTTTGAATTAAAAATGTTAAGTATTCAATTAAAACATATCTACACACACGCGCGCGCGCACGGACACGCACACGTACACGCACATAACTTATTAATTTAGAATCTTTTAATATTCTTGTACAAACACTTTTTGTCATAAAAAAGAACATACATATAAGAGAGAAATTCAAAGAAAAATGATAGAATAATCATATAGGAGGAAAATATAATAATGTTATTGTTTATCAATATATATTTTTAATATTGAATGGTTAAGATTAAAATTGAAGCTGTAAAAATAAATTAAATAGATCTACAAAAATGCAAATATAAATTTACCATCATTGATTGGAAATGGAAAAACTAAAAGAAAGAAGATTAAAGTCAAGGACAAATAAAAAAGAGCTTAACACAGTGAATAGATAGTGCAAATGAGTCATAACAAGATCCTAATTATGTTTGAATATGTGATACTACAATTTGACAGATTGAGTTTCAGCATGTACATATTTATATAATCGTAAAATTAAGCTTCTTCAAAGATATTATAGAAAATTGTTTTACTATTTTCAAAAGTAAATTAATTAATTTGAAAAAATATTTATATGAAAATAACAAATATAAATTCATGCGGATAAAAGAAGAAAAAGTAATTGAAAAAACGAACATAGCTTGTAGGGAGCTTGAACGTTAAAATAATACAAAAGCCATAAGCCAGCGATAAAAAAAATATTTACAAAATGGCATTAGAAATATGAATAGTAAAATTAAAAACTATTCTTAGATGTTTGATAGCATTTTGGTTTGCTTACAAACAAATTGTAAAATATTATAAAAAGAATTGCAATGGCAAAGAGTAACTCTACTTTAAATAAATAAAAATTTTGAAGTAATGTTTCGTTGAAAATATATTTTCTAGAAAAAGGATAAAAAAAAATTTGCAAACATATAAAATTGAAAACTATTATTATAAAGTTTGAAGATTTGATCGAGGACAGGTTCTTAATGAAGTTGAATTTTATATTGTATTTGTTGTTTTTGCCAAAAAAATCCGTTATATTTTTCTTCTCAATTAATCAAGCATTTTCACGTATTAATGTAAGGAAAAAAAAATAATACCATCAGAGAAATCGATTGCTTTATATACGAAAATCGGTTAAAAAATTAGATGTCAGTCTGTGTAAACCCATTTCTAAAATTAGTGTTATAATGTTTATGGCGAATCACATAACGAGAAGAAAGTTAACAAGACTTTGCAACGTAGACACAGGCCGCAAACTGATTGAGATAGATAGAGAGTGCGTGTGAGAGAGGAAGAAATAAAGAGAGAGAGAGAGAGAGAGAGTGAGATCTGTTGCTGCTTTAGACAGCGGCAGTACGGGGGAGGGAAGTTAGGAAATAAAAGAAGGCGAAGGCTAGAGAATGTTGCAAAGCCACTATCGAGGCAACGGTTGCCCTGCCGGACGAATTGCGTCACTCAGTTCTTTCGGGCTCGTTTATGGCTGTCTACCGCTTCTATGTATCCCGCATACCCAGCAGCCACAGTTGTGCGACGTCCCAATCCTGCAGCGGCGGCGGCGGCGGCGACGGCGGTGGCGGTGGCGGCGATGTCGCTCCCTAAGGGAGAAATCGATACGCGTTCGTTTCTTCCTTTCTTCGGATTGAGAGCGCCGCGAAATCTGCACGAGTTCATCTCCAACTTTACGTGCGAGCGAATCATGTGCGATTCGAGATTAGAACGCTGTCTAAAGCAGCAGAGATTATTGACAATTGCGCCTTTGTGGTGAACAATGTCGCGGACTTTCCCTTATTCATATTGTCGCATGCTTACTCGGTTTCACAGCAGCCTCCGTTATGTCTTCCTTATGCTTTATTGCAAATTCAATTATTTCTAATATTAACATTAATATGTACAAAAACCCGAAACAACGATAATCTAATATTTGGACTCGATAATAAATTTCATTTTGTAAAAAAATCGGGCACACGGTATTTTAGTAGCTATATGTAATTTAAGGAGTTATGAACAATTTTGTGAGGTGAGGTGAGATAAGAGGGTTGAACGATTAATGTTTCATTATAATTTAACCAATTAAAATTAATCAATTAAAATCAATGTGCATAATTTCTACGTGTATGATATACGTGTAACTTTTCCAGTCTTTGATTAATTTATTTGATTACTGATAAGAAAGAATAATTTAGTAAATGTCACATATATCAGACTCACTTTTAGTTCGTTCTTCATCTTAATTTTGTATAAAAATATTCTAAAAGAATGATAGTCAGTAAAAGATTATTGTCGAGAAGTTTTGAACTAAAGAACAAATGAAAAATTCAAATTAAATTGAGGAAATCAATATTTCAGTGTTACATGATATTTACTTGTATTACAAAAAGTTTATAAATATATTTAGAAACTACATTCATAAAATACGTAAATATTAAATGATTAAAAATTTATACTTATATATGATTAACCATCTAATTTTAAAATTAAGTGTCAAACAGAGAATATATGTATATTGTTCGTTTTATAATTTGATGATATCACAATTTTTAAATATCATTTTTAAAAACAGCACTTTATATATCGATAAATACTCACAAATAACCTTTTTTTTTTAGCAATGACTAAAAATAAAATAAATAGACTCTGTTCATTGATTAATGGTTTTTTTTTTTTTTTTTTTTTTTTTTTTTTTTTTTAATTAAGAATTAATAGCACTTAGAGTGAATAGATAGATATTCATTATATAAAAATGCAGAAAATTGAATCAGTAAAAATTAATTTACATTTGACTGTATCGTTCTAATAATGGTTAATGTAATTGATGAAAAAAGAAGTTTATGGCTGCAGCGATTTTATTTGACTGAATGATAAGTAGAAAAAATTTTATATAAAATATCTGAATTATCGGAATAAATGATCGATGTTACAATTAATTATCTATATAAGGCTCGTGAAAAACATTCCCTTAATTGTTTATTTATATTTAAGTGATTGCTTACTTAAAAAATGATAATGCGGCAGCAAATTTCATAACAATTTTAAAAATATATGCTTAATATTATAAATTTACTCTTTCTTTTAAGAAAGTATCAATTTACTTTTAAAAATTAAAAAAAAAAGAACAATTACAATTATTACATATAAAATGTATGTAATCATTTGTATAATTTGTATACAATTGCCTGGTTAGGTTTCATATTCATTTATTATTAATTGAATTTTAATTCTAATGACATTTAACGATTGATAGTCGAACTTAATCAAAAAGATTTGCAGCTTCTGTAACAAGGATATTATTATTTGTTTTAATAAGTATTTACCAATCATACAGACATTTTTTTTTCTCCATAAGTGATCGAGCTAAGTCTATAGACATATACTAAATCCACACTATATTAAAACAGAATTAAGGTTTTCCTAACAAATTATTTAGTT